CTTTTAATTGTTTACTGCAATTACTTGTTATATAATTTAATCAGTTCTAATGTGCAAATACGGTAACTGTTGTAGATACCGTATTTAAGATATTTTGCATCAACTTATAAATTGTAAATCCCGTATTTAGTGTGTGTTTAGTATGGATTTTTTGAGGGAAGAATTGATTTTGAATAGTGATATGATGGGAAATGTGTGGTTGGAAAAAAAAAAGATAAGATTATTGATGTAATGGAAAATATTATTTTATTGAAAAATGTGTNTGTGTGGTTGAAAATGAGAATTGATTTACCGTTGAAAATGAGAATTGGTACCAAACATAGCGTTAGTGTGTAAATCCGGTATCCAAAAATTGAAACAACTATCTTACAAACTGTCCATCGTAATTGGCAACAGCATATGGGAACTCCATTTTGGAAGTGGGAATGCAAAGAGGATACGATATTTGCAGATGGGATAATGAATGCAAGATGTTTACATTGACTTTACGGCATGTTCTTGTAGAGATCAAGTTTGAACTCCTTGAAAGCTAATCTTCAGTTGTGCCTCAATAACTTTACTACATTGATGGGCTCTCAACCTACTGGTGTGTTTTGTCAAGTATCTTGATAAACATCTCCACATGTTCCACCTCGGCGGCTGATCTTCACGTAATGGAGTTTCTTCGTCACTCCGTGACTGATCCCGGATCAGTCCAACGACTCTAAGTTAGCTGTATTTGTATCTGCCAAGAAGTCCTAAGCCTGTAGCTTGACATCAAAGGTACATCTTTTAATCACCTAGGCATTCATCAGTCCGGAATATTGGATACCTCAGCAAGGCAATGCTCATTCGAAGAAAAATATGTACTATTACAACATTATTTCCATCCTTCAATACAATTCATATTAAGCATCAACTGTAGTCCAGTTCAAAAGCCTGTTAAAGCTCAACTCTACACAACTTTAAATACACAACACAGGCAACTTTCATAATTTCTTATGCAATTGAACAGAGCTGAGAAGGGAAAACATACAAGAAATGCAGCAATTCAGAATCAATATAAAAACATCTAACTTCTAGACTAAAAGCCCTCCCATTATTAATTTATTAGTTACTTTATCAACTATTTATTACAAATCAATATTCCTTGTTCCGAAATTCTTGCACCAGAGCTGAGAAGGGATTGGGCGAACAGGAAGATGTGGCCGTTGCTGTAAGAAAGAATTTTATTAATAAATGAATAAATCTCGATGGAATATAAGAATCTTTACAATATTTTATCTCATCCTTAAGAGGAAAGCATAAAAAATAATCTGTTAATATTACAATATTTTGATCATCCTCTAGTTACGAATAAACTCATCTAGCCCTTATTTGGTCCACATTATTTCCAAAATACATTTTTATTTCTATTATTTTCAACCACGCATTTTTCAATAAAATAATATTAGACGCAAACCCAAAACTTTTCTTTATTTTTTAACCACACATTTTCTATCAAATCACTATTTCAAAATGCATTTTTACAAAAAAAAAAAAAATAATAATAATAATAAAATAATAATAATAATAATAATATTGGGCTCAAACATGCTGTTAGATAGAAAAATGTTAAATAGTAACGTGGACATTGGTGGAGATTATTTGATCAGTAGGAGGTGCACGTGTACTAGAAATCGCTAATCTAACCCTTGATAAGCCCACACAAGAGGGGCACAGAGAAATCACGGAACGGATAACACCATTCAAGTGTTCATTGCAATCACCTTGTGACCATGTATTATACCAGAAAAACAAAAATCATTTTGTTCATGAAAAGACCTTGGCACCTAAAGAAACATTTATTTTGACATTTCTTTCTCTTTATATACATGCACATACATATTTTTCAGCATTCTTTTTAGTGATGTACCATCCATGTACCACATCTTGAGAATTTTGAGATTTTAGCATAAATTTTTATGTGCATCCTCATCCTTATTGCACCAAATCTGATGCCTGTCCATATCCATGATTCTCAATTTCAACAGAGCCAAAGAAACCCCACAGACAATATTGGATTCTCAAGGAGTCCACTAATTTAGTAGACAAATGTTAAATAGGACGTGACTGTGGGATATTAGAGGAAATGTCTTTGATCCACCAGATGAAACTCATAAACTAGAAATTGCTAATCTACAGCTTGATAACCATGCACTAGTGGGTGTCCCCATGTACTGAGAAAAATTGAGGTATAGAAAATGGTATTCAATTTTCAACTTTTATCACGTAGGGGCCATTAATTTCAAATGTTCTTTTTATTAACATATCTTCCATGTATAGTATCTTGAATTCTCAAACTGCATTCCACTCAATTAGACACACAGATTGTTTCCTTTGACAAATATAGATTTGCAAGACGAAGTGCAGCTAAGTGTCCAAATCACGTTGGTGGTTTGGTTAATAATGGGCCAATAAATATTGCATGGTGATGTGGGGTTATACATCCAAATGCAGCCTAAATTTCACCGTTTCAGCATTTGATGTTAGGTTGCAATTGGTTATCCAAAGATAACATATAGCATATGTATTCCAACTTGAATAATCAAATACTTCAATGGCAGCTATTATGTTAGACAGGTTAGCAACGGACAGTGTTAAAGAAATCAAGATGTTAAACATTTCAATACCAAGCATTAACAAACATGCCTAAGCCATTTAGCTCCCACATTGCAACCACCAGGTTGTAAGAATTCAACAAAGCTATAAGATTCGGTATAAACATAAATCGATCCAAACCAAAACCCTAATCCTAATTCAAAATACTCCACAAAATTAATCAATCAAATAACAAAGACACATCAACACAATAATCAATTAAGAGAAAAGAGCGTGCACGAAAAGAACCTCGAGCACGGCGGACTTCATGGCGATTGGGATACAGATAAGGACGATTCCGAACATGGCAAAGGCGGTGTTCCGCTTCCAGTGTTTGGGACGGCAGTACGGCCCACCTGATATACTCCACACCTTCGCCCTGAAATCTCCTCCGTGGGCCCCATCTGCATGGTGGTGCTCTCCTCCCGCCATTTTCTTGACACTGTAGTACTTTCCACTGAATCCGCTGCATAAAAAGTGGAGCGAAAATGTAGAATCAGTGGGACTGCCCTCCCGAACTGGGGATCCGAATAAATGGGTTTTATATCATTTCGAGTCACTGTCTCGGGTGGGTTTCGTCTAACGGGTTTGAATATTTTGGGGTCAATTCATTTGATCTCAGGATCTTTTTTT